ATAAATCTAGTTTGTGCACTGTGGGTTTTTCTACCATAGTATCAACACAGTAGAGTGTTTTTCCATTCACGTGTATATAATATGCATGTATGTCGTATGTATGCAAGTATGTGTGTGTGTGTGTGTGTGTGTGTGTGTGTGTGTGTGTGTGTGTGTGTGTGTGTGTGTGTGTGTGTGTGTGTGTGTGTGTGTGTGTGTGTGTGTGTGTGTGTGTGTGTGTGTGTAAGTGTGTGCGTGTGCGTGTGCGCGTGAGTATGTGTATATGTACATGTATGGGCATGGGTATGGGTATATGTATAGTATGTGTATATGTGTATGTGTATGCGTGTATGTGTGTAATGTGTAAGTGTAAGTGTAAATGTGTGTGTGTGTGTGTGTGTGTGTGTGTGTGTGTGTGTGTGTGTGTGTGTGTGTGTGTGTGTGTGTGTGTGTGTGTGTGTGTGTGTGTGTGTGTGTGTGTGTGTGTGTGTGATATTGTGGACAAAATGGTCGCAAAAAGTTTAATCACATAAAGATAAACATACAGATGCAGCATGAATACAAAGGCATAATCAAAATATCACTCAGCATTACGCTGTCACAGCAATTGTATGTTAAGTCTAAATCCACAGAAATGAATTACACAGAAACGTATCTAATACTGATGTTTGTCTTCGGTCGAAATCGTGATCAGTACCACGATCATATCCTCTCAAGAACGAACGAACAATTTGTATACAACTCACAATGACTATAAATTCACCTTGGCAATATATTTTAGAATCATGGGTCCAGGTATTCATTATTCAACAACATACTCCCACAGGTCACCCTGGTCCTCAGAATATAATGAATGAAACCGAAAATTGACAGCCTAAAATATCAGCCTTTGGGACATTGGGTTTACTGGGGTCAGAGGCCACCTCTTTTGCATACGGATAAAAAGTCAAAATATATAAATATAATGTCTAAAGTTGTTTCACTATCACAATTCTTGTACGAATATCCGTCGATTCAGTCTGACACCTTACTGTTTAAACTGTGATGGATTATCAAAACTTATTTATTTTTTCATCACAAACATCTGCTTATAATAGCTCATGTCTCTTAAACTTGTGGCAGGTAATTTTCTCTATGCAGTTGCTGCTTCACACATCACAGTATATGGCCATTTTACTAGATTTTTTTCCCTATTTTTTGTAGCACTTCACCAATTTCTTCTGCAAACAAGGTGGTGGCGATAATATTCCGCCACACAAGAAGCCATTTGTCTGATGCCACTGCCGTCGATCTGCTCAGGGTCATGGTCTACCCTGCCTCAGCTTGCAGTGGTTCATAAGCTGGCGGTGAAATAAGATGAAGTAAATAAACAGGCAACCGCATGACTATAACAGTATTACTTACTGTGCGGTTACGGTTATCACTTTTTCCGTGAAATGTGCAATTTGCGAGTCACAAACGAATTTTTGTTGCTGGGAATGCTAAGTTTTGAAGTCATGATTTCAGGTAATCGAGTTCATTCATAAAATACGAGGTATTCCGTAAAATCGTATAGCAAATGTTACCTAGTTAGCTATAACAGCATGTTTTTTTTATTAATCTAAAAAATATCAACTCGTTATGATCACAATATCCACTGCATTTTAAGTGCCAGTGCATCGTGTCCCACCTGTAGCTAGTACATCATGCCAGCATGACTGTGGGAACGAAATAAGTAGAAGTTCGGGTTGGAGGAGACTGCGAAATCAGGCGCAGGTCGTTCTATGCTGGTGTACACCCCCTCGTCGCCTCGACTCACGCCTGCAATATGACATTTTAATCTATGTGTTCATGAAGATACATGCATTACCTTTGCTACTGAGGGAATGGATGTTTTCTTTTATTGATTTACATGTTTCTGTGGAATAAATAAGGCTCTTTGCAATTTGAAAAACTCAATAGGCTTAAATACCTAGGGATAGTTTTCTCAACACCATAAGGTAATATACTGTTTATTTGTCCGTCTGAGAATCCAAAATGCCTTTGTATTCGCTGATGTGCCTCGACCATTCTTTCTCTATGTCGTTCAATTTACAAAATAGTCATGAGAACTTACTTACGTGCTAAAACCTGTTAGGAAAAAAAGAAGTCAAATAGAAACAAGGACAAAAAATTCAGTCAAATCTGTTAGCCGTCACGTTACCCCCTTGGCCTTGTCGATACCCTGGCCAGAGTCTTGCCTTGACGTCGTCGCTGTCGTCACGGGTTGGTCCATTATTGTCTCGTGGGGGAGGAAAGGGGGTGTTTTGTCAAGTACGATAGGAAGATGAGGTAAATAGATTCACTTTCGTCCGATAAGCCACCGGGTGTTTGAGAAAGATTCGAGGAGCGACTTTCTTCACATAAATAATCGTCTCTCAAGATTCAGCTGGAAGGACTGTGTTCACTGAAGTAACTGAAGCTATCTTATTAATCTCATTATACAACATTTTCCTATTTAAGTAGGCAATGACACAATTTTTTCTACATTAACTATTTACCCATGTATAAAAATACTAGCTGTTAGATGAATAAAGTCTTTTTATGGACTACATATTCTATTCTAGGATCAGAAGTGAACTACTTACCCTGGAATTATGATTTATGTTTATTACCATGTGATGGTCTCGGTCTATTTGTTATGCTAATGCTATATTCTAATTTACTGAGGCATTAAATCTACACAGTGTCTATCATCTACACTTCTATTTAGCTAATCAGTTTATCGAAGTCGTGGTAGTTGTAGGTCGCTTTGGGCGTTGAAGTAGAGCACAGAGATTATCACAAGAAGCCATGTCACAAGTAGGTCCAGTTGTACCAAATAGTCTAAAGCCTTGTCAGCAGCAGAGTCAATATTTTTTTAGTAGATGAAAATAGTGTCAGCATTGGTGTCAAGAAAGCGTCGACAGCATTCCATGTCAGTTAATTAGATAATATGATAGCCGTAGAAAATAAGTCCTTATAGAAACGGTGGTAGTCGCATGAAAGTCCATTTTGGAATATCAGAAGTACAGCTGCAAGAATTATTATTTCGCCAGCGTGTCAAAGGAGCGTCGAAGGGAAGAAGGTCAAGTCAGCGTCAGTATCGAGCTAAAGGTATTAGATGTAGTTTCCCTGAGGAGTGATAGTGTAAGAGTACCTGGATAGTAATGGTGGTAATAGTGCAGTGGCGGCCAGTAGTGAGGTGCGGGGGGCGGTAGCTGGGTGGGTGGAGGGAGTGCGCCGTAACCGAACATATCTGAAATATAGGTTAGCGTGCTGGAGTGGGTGGGATATGGGTGTGAGTCTGAGCTATAAACCGGGTGAGGTAAGGGGGGTTGTGCTGGAGTGGGCGGAGGAGTTGAAGGTGGTCCTAAGTTGCCCAGAGTAACGTGGTGAGTGGAAGGGGTACGTGGGTGGGGTAACAGTGAAGGCGGAGTAACTTTGTGGGTTGGGGTCAACAGGCGCTTGAATAGGACGCCCATGGCAGGCGTCGCAACGGAGAGACCTTATTACGTGATTTTACTGAAAGAAAGTCATTAGGAAAGATAAAAAAAACAAATGTCCCAGCATCAGATAACTCTACAAACCTGTTCACATACATGATACTGAAACCACCAACAGCAATAACAACGAAGCCCTGCAACCTAAATCATCAGGGTAATCTTGCTCCTCATGAACACAGTCACTTTAGTTATACGGAAATTTTCCGGATTTTGATGTCTTAAACTGATTCCTGACGCCCTCAGCACCCCACCTCGGCTTCCTCCTTGGCCTCACCTGAGAAATGAGTCTTGTATATGGAGTTGGCCGGGCGTAGGATCTCCTTGGGAGGCTTAATGGGTTTGAAGAGGAAGAAAGAGGGCGAGTATCTTGCGCCGCCGGACAGCGTAGACATCCGGTCGTCGCGGTCCTCCTTGTAGAGGCCCTCTTTGCCCACGGCCGCCAGCTGACGACCCTGGGAGATGAAGCGCAAAATAAAGTATCTGAGTATCTCTACTCACTTGGACATAGAAAGCAAGGGAAACGTTCCTCCTATAAGAAATACCCAGAAAGATGACCTAACAGACGATTGTCCCGGGGGGTCTAGTGTACCTTGGGTATAAACATGACCACGAAGACGATGGTGGCGGTGGCGACCATCCCGAAGCCGAGGCAGGCGGGCTGGACGCTGGCCGGCAGGATCAGCCCCGCCAGCGTCCACGACAGCCACAGAGGCAGCACGAGGCCCAGCGCCGCGCCGATGTACGACGCCTCGCGGTAGTTCTCACGGATGCCGCGGCACTGCGGGCGGAATAAGGCGGGTAAGTCGTGTACTTACAGGGACGAGGGATACTCTCTATTCATCTGTCTTTACAGATATATATATATATATATATATATATATATATATATATATATATATATATATATATATATATATATATATATATATATATATATATATATATATATATATATATATATATATATATATATATATATATATATATATATATATATATATATATATATATATATATATATATATATATATATAATATATATATATATATATATATATATATATATATATATATATATGTGTGTGTGTGTGTGTGTGTGTGTGTGTGTGTGTGTGTGTGTGTGTGTCACATACACACACACACACACATACACACACGCTTCAAAGGACAACCAACCTTAATAGCTAACGCAGCGACAGCTATGATGAGGATGATGACGTAGATGAGAGACAGGAGGAACTGCCTGTAGGAGGCGACGCAGGAGAGATGCAGTTGTCCCGACACCTCGTCCCTCACTACCGTCACAGCAGCGGGATACGAGCACTGCCACTGGATGTTGACGCTTACCTGCTCGGAATAAGCAGAGGAAAGGATGTATCTTATAATGAGGATATTAGGCAAGTAATAATTATGCAATTCTGCCTGATGGAACAATATATTCGAACGACATATGCATAGGCACTTATAGTATGGTCCTTTACAAGAGGGTTTCAGTTTTTTTTTTCCTTTTCTGAAAAAGAACACATGCGTGTGTCGAATAAAGTGCACTCGTTTATTAAAAAAGAAAATCACTGATGCATCATACATTCTGATTATGTCTGTCAATAAATCAAAACCTTTCTCTGCGGAATTATTTCAGATTGTAGACGCAATCATACGTACGTACACATCTGAACATATATTCCGGTGTTGGTACGCGCATATGGAAATGTTCGCGTAGGTAGACGAACAACATACATACCTGTACGAGAACGATAAAGAAGAGCAAGAGGCCCTGGTAATGGGCGGGCAGGTAGACACCGGAGTTTAGAGAGATGAGGAACACGCACTTGACGAGGAGAGCCGCGAACACCAAGGCGCTAGACACCCCCACCAGGAGTCTGCAAGGACACGCTCCACTCAGTCAAGCAGGTACCGTCATGAGTAAGCCACTCGGGAGCTTTTAGCGTGGACTCAAGCAATAGCATCATTGCATTCTTACACCTTCTATGTCGATAAACCAAACGTAACCCATGACATGAAGAGATTGGTGCAGAATGGAACAAGATCTTTACAGTACTTATAAAGACCTTGGGATTTTAGATTTGATTTCATTTTAGCAATGCGGGTGTTTTTTTTTTTTTTGTTGGCAAACAGGTGTGACAAATCAGCCCCAGGTCATGAAGAGAATGACGTGGTGCACAACACCGTAAAGCAAAGACTTACTACACGATTTTTCCTCTTCTTTAAACAAAAGGAATTGAAAATTCCTTTATACCAACTTACCTACCTAAAAAAAAAGAAAAAAAAAAGAAAAACAAACGAACATAACTAATCATCACTTCTAAGACACCGATTTCCTACCAGAGACTGCCGTAACCTGAAGGGCCTTCCTTACCTGGTGGCGCCGCAGGAGAGCGGGGTGGGCGTGAGGGCGATGGGCAGGCCGGAGAGGGAGCACATGAGCAGCCCCAGCAGCAGGCACTGGCCCAGGAACAGGTGGCGGCGTGAGGGCGTCCCGTGTAACGCTCGTACCAACACGTATACCTGGGGCGCGGTCATTTGCATAAGGGGCGTCAGTGGGGTGTAATGCAGTGATGAAAATTCAGAAAGCATTCATCAGGAAAAGGTGAAGGAATGAATTAAACGGGAAAAAATCGTTAAAATAATATCATGCAGATCAAATCTTCATGAATAATAATCATTAACTTTGTGATACTTGACTCTTCAGGTTCTCTTTTAGACTGTTTCTAATCTCTTCATCTATCCTGTTGAACTAATATATTTTCTTATTACAGTCTATCGTGACGATGGTCTTGACATTCGCCTACTCATATGTTGTCATATTAATGTCAGCTTTGTTCCTCTTCAGTTAAGTTTCTGTTCTTACTTTCCTTCTATAAGTTTCGCGGTTGTGAATCTTCTTATTTCAGTTTTACTTACTTAACTCGTCATTCTCGCTATCGCTAAAACTATCTTTGTCTATCTGTCTGTCTGACTTTCTCTTTCTCTATCATTATTCTTCCCCTTCCTTCCCTCCATCCCTTGCACTCTTCCTCTCTCCCTCCCTTCTTCCCTTCTCCCTCTCTCCTCTCTCACTTCCTTTCCTCCCCCGGGCCTCCCCCTCCTACCTCGAAGGCGACGATGGCGGCGGCGTTGGTGGCGGCGACGGCGAGGAGAGGCACGACCCAGGGCGCCGTCCGCAGGTACGACCCGCCCACACTGCTGCTGTTGACCGGGGTCGTCACGCCATCCCCGTCCGCATCGCCGACTGAAACGAGGTCATGGAATCATACACTCTACATATGAGGCACATAACATGTGGCTTGCATAAGTACAACATGGTCGCACATCCACAGACGCAAAATTTAAGTACATGGACACGTACCCATTACACAACCATAGCGGTACATAGATATTTAAATAAAAAATGGTAATTTATGATATATGTCACGAGATTACATAAGCACAACATAGACTTTGGCCGCATACCGCATAGCAAAACAAAAACTGGAAACTTGACATGATCAAAAGCATGACCACATGGTAATGAGATGACATCGCATGGGGTTGAAAAGACAACCGATTTATCTTAGCAAGGATAAATGAAAATATATAAAGAAAATGGAGGAACATGCGAGAAGGAAAGTTTAGAAAAATACAGGGTAAGTAAGAAGAGAATAGGCAAAAAGAAAAGAGAAAATCATGATCTAAATCAAGGGATGAATAAACACACAGACACACCCACAAACACACACACACACACACACACACACACACACACACACACACACACATCCACAAACCCACACCCACACCCGCACACACATACACGTAGAACAAAACTAAACACATAACAAAAGAAAATATGCAAAAGCAAGAGGTAAAAACGAGAGAAAATGAGAAGACACGAGACGCAGACAAAGAGAAGACACGGAAAGAACAGAAAAGGAGAAGAATTTAAATGGAAATCTGTAAGGACATTACGAACGGGAGGAGGCAGACAGCTAGATAAATAGCTGAAGGTTGAAAATGGTAA